AGGTGAGGAGGTGCTGTGTTGGGAAGAAGAAGAGGAACTGTGAGGCTGGCCATCGCTTCTCTTCCCCTGTCCCAACACACAAACACACACTCATACATGCCTGGACAGAAAGAGAGAGATGGAGGAGAAAGAGAGAAGGATCCACAGACACATCTTCAGCTTCTGAAGAAATTGGGATTTAATCTAATTTTTAATAGAATCTAATTTTTGTAAGGTAATGTCCTCGTATTCATTATTTCAGTACAGTCGCTAAGAACAATATGACACAGCTTTCTAATTATCATGGCAACATTTAGCACCACTTCATCTCATCACTGTTAAGAGGAACACTTTCACGTTAGGCTTTCTCCATTAACTTTGATCATTTTTTTGACTGGTATAATGGGCTTCTTAATGAGACTTACAGTTCACGTAGTGGCTCAGTAACAACCATCAAGGTACAAACTGAAGCAACCCAACAAAAAGCCTAAACAACCCTTGCCGCTGTTCATTACTGCACATCATTAACCACTGAGCACCACGCAACACAAGTCACGAGTCACTCACCCAGTCAGACAGCCAATCAGAAATCACAGCTGACCTGGGCAAAACACATAAAAATACAGAAAACTGAATGTGAGGTGCATTTGGCTCTGTGCAGGACACTTTGCCATGTCATCTATTTTTGAAGCTGCTGCTAATCAAAGCTGATGGTTCGTAATGACAAAAATATCCCAGCTCTAATCTGGATGAGCAAGAGCTTTTCTTTGGAAATTAGGTCCACATGTAAAGAAGTGGAGCTGGCAGAGGATTATGATTATAATGCAACTAACTGTATGACACAAGCCCACTTAGAAAAAAGTTTGCCAATGGGCTGCAGCAGCACAGCATCAAATGTAGGTTTAAACTGAAAGTATAAGGCATGACAGTGGGACTAAGCCATTTTTAAAATCCACCAAACTCACACTTCAGACAGTAATTCACTGATTACAGTTCACTGCTATGTAAACAGATATTTCATACTCTCTCTGCCTACTACTGTTGCTATTACACTCTCTGATTATTACATTTTGTTTCTTAAGGTATCCTGGCATGTTCCTTGCCACACTGATAAGCACCTGATTTACAAGAACATTCTCAAATATTTAATAAAACTACATAATAATTAGGTTTACTGCTACCAAAGTGAAGACCATTATTTGTTCAAAACAGTGTCGTTTTGCCCAGGCCTGCACTACAGAAAGAAGGTTAGACAGGAGGCGACCTCACTAACAACAGGCAAGGACTAGACTACATCCACACATGCAGTGCAGCAGGACTTGAAATGTCAACAGCAGGGTTTAAAGTCAGAAGTTTTTAATATCCACTTGTTAGCTGGAATTATAAACTGCATTTAAAGGCTGGAACTGAATACACTGAGTCACAAATGCAAACTACGATATAGCTAGCTTAACCAATACAGGGTTTCAAAATAAAATCTTAAAGCTTTAATAGATGAAAAGTGGCCATTAGTCCACAGCATTACAAATATTCATAAGAATATAGTAAATGAGGTGAATTAAACATTAACACTACAATCAAATCCAATGAGACAAAAACCCTAGTGAGAAACCGAAGCAGTAATGAACTGCTTAAGGCCTGAAAACATCAACAGCAACTGATGTACGTATTACATTAGCGATGACCAGCTAGTAATGGCTAATAGCATACTATAATTGATAAATAATTAACTTATAATAAACCAAGAATTCTATTTTTACTTATTTTGCCAAGTATACTGTCTATTATAGATAGTGTCAGCAGAAAATAATGGCCATATTCAAACAACACTTTTTTTGCTATTCTGTTCTATAGAGATATGGTAGTGTGCAAAGCAAAGCAGTGATGCTGAAAATGACACAAACCTATTTACTTGCACAACATGCTATTAGCTGAACAAACCATCCATAGTTAATGATAAATAGCCTGCCTGTCCTTTGATATCCGTTTACTGTCCTTCAGTTACCCGTTTGTCTGAGTAGTTGCCGGTGCTTATTTGCTCACATCTGTCTCTTTCTGTGCCACATACACCTATGAAGCCCTGCTGTGGCCATTTCATGCTCTGTAGCATTTCTCTTTACTTCAAGTTGTATTTTTTGTGACCAGTTTTCCCATTTCTAGGAAATCAGCGTATCTACAAAGCTAATCACCCAATGGGCTGGTTAGTTGGTAGGTCAGATGACCAGGAATAGAAACGACGACATACCTGGGCAATGTTCAGTGTCTAGAGAACGCATGGCAGAAAGAGACAAACACAATACATAACCAGAGAACAAAAGAGAAAGAAACAAAGAAAGAGAGTGGGGAAAAGGAGGGATAGAGAGAGAGAGAGAGAGAGAGAGAGAGAGAGAGAGAGAGAGAGAGAGAAAGTGGTGATTCAGGAGCTTGTCTGTTCAGCACAGTTAGCATCAACTCAGCCAATTCAAGCATACAAACCAGATTCTAGGTTATTTCTTCAAGTAAAGCAAATCCAATAAACAGCACTGATTATTGCTTTGTGTAAACAACAAAATGGACCCAATAATAACAGCTTGTCAAACTGTCAATGGCTGTGCTTAGTGAGCTGGGATGAGGTGAAACTGCATGACCCCAACACTGGTGTTAGAAAACTAACACTAGTGCATTATGGGTCAAGCTCAGAGCACAGGCTTGCTTTACATATGGTCTTATACTGTACAGTTGTGTTACCAGGAAACAAGGGAGGAGAGGAGTGCAAGGGAGAAATAGGAGAAACAAGAAATAAAGAGGCATATGAAAAAAGGTAAATATGAACAAACACAAAGAGCAGAATAACAAAAGACAAACTAATATATGAACAGGATGAGCTAGAAGAATAAGCCAAGGGAAGAAGGGGGGGAATAGAAAAAATGATAAAGGAAGGGGTTTGTGACAGTGGCAGGGGAAAATGATGGCAGGTAGAGGGCCTGGTAAACTGTGGAAGCAAAGGAGCAAAAGTAGAAGAGGTGGTCATACCGCTTTGTTGAGTCCTAACATGTTGCAGACCATGTCTCTTGAGTATGGCTGTTCTAATACATAACGCAGCAAGAAAGTCTGTGGCTCAAACAGGTCCTAAAGACAAAAAACAAAAACATTGTTAATGCTTCTGTTAGTGTGTGCACATGCATTAAAAGCATATGTATATGTTACCTTATCAAACGGCAACAAGCCTCTAAGAGGGAAGCGGAGAGTAGTGGGGTCTAACTTCCAGGAGTTACAGATGGCCCCGCTGTTATTCACTACAGGTAACAGGCTGCATCTTCCTGTTGATACACACATTCACACATTAAATTATTTAGATTTTAGACAGGTTTGAGTAATGCACAGGGTTATTTGGAAAGTTGACGCAACCTTTTCAGAGATGCAAGTACCAAATGACACAGGCACAGAATAAAAAGTCAGCAGGGTCCAAGTAAAAAATGCATTCCACTTTGCCATAAACAAGAACCCTTGAAAACAACAACTCCTGCTTTTCTGTGTCTCTCTTACCACAAATTGAGTTGATTCTGGCTGTAGGTCTGAAACTGTCCACAAAGTCTGATATCAAACTACCTAGAAGCTACAAATGGGAGCGAGAGACAAAGACAAAAAAAGAACAGACAGAAGAACCATTAAGAGGGAAAGTATTTTAGATATGCAGCAACACACACAGACACACTCATGAAACACACGCTTACCCAGTGTGACAGCTGTCCCTCTGGATACAGTTTTCTGATTTCTGCAATAGCAAAGTAGGCTGGCAGGAGGCAGGCATTTCTGTCCAGGATATATTGTACCACCTGTAATATACCATCCACCCATTATCTACACTGCTTATGTGAGAGAGAAACGGCATTTTGATTGTCTGTATGTCCTGCACATATAGTGAATTGATAAAATCTTTGATCTTATCCTGTAAAAAAGGTACTAAACAGATAAGAGTTAGTGTTCTTACAGAAAAGCTGCTCATAAAAGTCATCAAAGTGAAGCAGAAGACAAGTACCTCTCTGGCAGCCAGAAGCTGTGGGACTATAGCTGAGCTCACAGTGATAGGAATGGTCTCAATTTTCTCCAGAACAGTTTTCAACAGGTCCCGGACACCCTAAAACGCACAGACACGCAACCATAGTTTAAAGCAAGTCTCAAGACTACAGTTTTAACAAACATCTGCAAGGTTAACATGCAGAGAAAAAACTGCATTCACAATATATTTTGATACCTGAAAAGGAAGATGAATTCCTAGAAAAATGAGCATTAAATGAATTTGAGAGTAATTTGTAACAGCTTAACGCTGTCAAATGTTTGACATATTTTGAAATTTCCTGCTAGAGGCAAGACCTCTCCATTAACCTACAGTAAGTTAGGAGTTACATAGTCAGTGTGACCTCCAGCTGACAGTGGCAGATGAGTTCAGAAGAAATGTTCACAGCTACATGACCACTTAAAATGAGGTTAATGCTCTAATGCCAAAAGTAAAGTGTATGTGTGTTTGTGTGTCAGAGACCTTGTAGTCCACCCCTCCAATGATCTTGCGGAACAATTTAAAAGTTAATTCCCACAACTGAGTCCTCTCCCACTCCAAACTTTCTGAGCTTATTAGAGCTGCACACACCATCCTACAGACAAGCAGAGTCTCATTAGATTAATGATCAGGACAGATAAGATAGCACATAAGAGGACCAGCACAATATGTTTTTATCAGTGATAAGGATTTATAGACAAGACCTGACAGTAATACTCTCAATGAATGTGTAAGTGAATGCATACTATATGTCTGTAGGCTTTTGCAACTGTGTACATGTGTGTACCTGGGTGGTAACAAACTAGTCTCCACAGCCATTGCTAGACAATCATAGAGGAAGGAGATTCTTTTGGGACTGTGCTGGCTGTGTGTAAACCGCACTATCCACTGTACACACTGTTCATGAGACTCCTGCAGAAGGGAAGGGAGACGATTTTAAAAATCCAGTCAATCATATGTATCATCCTAACTGCATATGTGTGCCTCTGTATGTAGAGACCTGTGGTAATGTTCCCCAGTATTCTCTGAAGGCTCCAAGGCAACTGATCAGTTTGGTCCTCTCATCCTCGGGGGTGTCCATAACCATCCTAGAACACAACACAGCTGTAATTTTACTCTGTATGTTTTCAGTTTTATAGATCAAATTTATTTATATAGCACTTTAAAAACATCAAGTTGAACAAAGTACTTTACATGGGCAGAATAAAATCACAATAACTAACTAAAATAACAGGATCAGTGCAAAAATAAAAAAATAACAGACACACAGATGACATACACTCAATAAATTAAAAGGAATGCATCAGGCAATAACATTTCATTGATATTTCTGCCAAGACATAAAATATAACTCCAAAACAGTCCCTCTGGAGATTTGTTTGTTTAGAGTTGTCTTACCCAGCAAATGCCTCTTCTATCATCTCAGTTTTCTAAAAGGAGGAGAGGTGAAATAACATTGACAAACTGTAATGTGGGATGCAATAAAGTGTTTTAATGCAGAAAACTTAAACCCTAGCTGTTTTGTAGTAACGTTAAACACTGGTAATGTTAGCTCATAAATATTTAACGTTATATAGCTGGATAAGGCAGCTGTGTTTAGAAAAGCACTTGCTGTGTTGTTGGAATTAACGTTACTCATTTGCAAAACCACAGCTGGTTGATGAGGGAATGATAATTGAAAAAGCTAATTCTGTAGAAAAAGCTAACAAACGTTAGCCTAGAACTAATTTATAAAGGTGCAAATTACTGTACCACAACATCTTCGAAAATACTCTGTAGTTGAGTTTCCATCGAGAGCGCCATGCTTGCTTAAAAAAAATGCTAATTTACAGCGAAGCATTACACAAACAAACCAAAACTAAAAGCTAACAGGCACGGAATAAACGCGCCCGCTAGACGTGCAACAGCAAAATCAATCCGGAATCAAATCAAAGACACAGGCTCCACAGTTCCGCTTCATAGTGTCGTTATGACTTCAAACCCTCATGCTCTTTAATAATGACATATAATAGTATAATATATGTTCTACCGTTTCCAGAAATATCTACCACACTGCTTACGGTCGGCATGTCATTGTATTATCTATATTTTCAATCTAATATTTTGATCTATTTGCTATCTATAGCTAATATAATATGTGTTGAAGACAATGACAGTGGTTGCACATAAGTGGCCACTAGATGTCAATATGGATGTTGTTAATGAAAGCTCTTACTGTTCTGTTGTTACTCTGTTTTCTAATCGTTCTTGTTTTATATATTGCTTTTTGGAATGCCAGTCAAATGAACTGTAGTTAAGCTGTTGTGCAGAAGCAAATGTTTATGCAGGAGGGACCAGAAACTAATAGCTGGACCTCTTCTAAAACTCAAGGCAAGATAAGCAGGATTGCATTAAATAAAGAAAATAAGGCAAGGAATTAAAAATTATGCTTGCACATGTCCTTCTCACGTTTATAAATCATGAAAAATAAATTAATTAAAAGGACACACACATACACACATACGCACGTACACACAGGCCACCGCCTGCACAGATAAAATGTGCAAAAACAAGTGAGGCCACATTCCGTCTTCATACAAGAAACCCATTCGCAAAGTTTGTTTTACTTATCCTACCTGTTGAGGATTTATGGTCGGCTGTCCAGCTACTTCGTACTAATCCCCAGTTTGTTTACTTCCTCTTTGAATGTGTGTACTTTTCTAGCCGAATCGTTTTAATCGTGCTGAGTAACATCTTGGTACAGACAGGTCTACTGGCGGAGTTAGGTGCCGGAGCCTGCGGGGTTAGGAGGAGAGCCAGGAGGCTGCTGCAGGCTGAAAATGTTGGTGCTTTCTGTGAAAACATGAGCACTACATGCAGACATGTGGACTGTGTTAGTTTTGCTGAACCTGGGGGCTCTGCATTGTACAGGTATGGTTGTCTAAAACTAATAGAGTATTGTTTCTCCTAAATTATTCTTTGCTCTCTTCTTAACAGTGACGTATTCCCATTATAGACTACTACAAGTTGCAGATGTTATATCAAGCATTAAACATACTACTTTAGGTTACTTTGTTTCCATTAACGAAACTGGTTGTGTGTGTTTTTGTAGTAGAAAGCTGTACAGTATCGCTGTAACAATTAGTCACTGGAAACCATAACTTGTCTACACACACTGTTTGGAATAAGGTATCAGGTGAAATGCTGTATTCTTTAAATCACCAACTGTTTTGAATATATCTGTGGATATAATCTGATTGTTTTTAAATTAAAATTAATATGTATGTATATTTCATTTGAAATAAGTTAAAACCACAGGTGGATCGTTTTGTCCAGATAGCCTAATTTTATCATGTTTATCCAGATTAACCTTTATTACAGTCTGCATTTATGCAGTTTGCATAATGTTTGCATAATGCAAACATTATGCAAACAAATCAATCTATGGTGCCTTATATAAGCCCAAGGTTATGCATAGCACAGTAATAAAGACAATATACTGACATTAAGCAAACACCAAGTATTACAATAACAAATATTACTATGCACACAATTGCGAAGGCTTTGTTTAATCTGCATCTGTATGTTCTGTCTGTCTGCGTGATGCTGTGTCACTGACCTAGAAAGTCCTGTATGTATGTGTGCATAACCTGAAAATTAGTCATGTGTGCTACAGTGCATTCTGTTCAGGTTCAGTTGATATAGGTTCAGTAGTTCAATGAACTGTGGTTTTCCTTTTTTATATTATATAAAAATTAAATTCAGACATACTGGTTATATTTTACAGTGTTTAACTGCTCACTGTATATGTAGTATAGTAGTATCAAAGCACAACACATTCTGACAGATTCTGTCTTTTACAGCGATAGTCTTCAGTTGAGTTATTAAGTAGTTTTGAGGTATCGTAAATAATACAGTACAAGAGGAAGTTCAAAGGTCAGTCAACCAGCCTGTGAGATGGTGATTGAAAAAAAAGCAAGGAAACATTCATTGTAATGGCAAGCTAACATTAGCTTGTATTAAATGTGTCTCTTGTCTTTCTCAGTCTCAGTCTTTCAATCTCTTTCTTCTCAGTCTCATCCTCTCCTCCCAGCCCCAATAACGTCAGCTTCTCATCAGTGAATCTAAGGAATGTCCTGCAGTGGTCCCCAGGGAGTGGCACACCAGATGACACACACTTTACAGTGCAGTATGCCATGTATGTATATGTACATTTTGAAGCTTAAATAAAAATGGACAATAAATATATTGACTTCATGTTGCAAATCATGTAGGGTGTTTCCTTTTTGGCACATCTTTCACTACCCTGGACTTTCCCTGCCTAATTAAAGCTGAATAGGCCTTTCTCCCTGTGTCTGCGTCGGTTGGATGGCAACTGATGATTCGCTGTGGTGACCCCTAATGGGAGCAGCTGAAAGCGGAAGAAGAAGGAGTTCTAAATCTTATTTAATGCAAAATTTAAATTCCTCACTTGAGAGGGAATTGAACAAGGTGGTTGTTATTGTTCCAGTTTATGCAGGGATTCAGTTATTCATTATCTGGGTGTCTTGTCTTTTCCAGTTATGGGGACAGCGTGGAGAGCAGCAGAGGAAGACGGATATACTGGAGAGAGGTGTCGCGTTGTACGGAAATAGCACAGAACTGGTGTGATCTGAGCAATGAGACATGGGATCAGGAGCAGGGATACTACGCCAGAGTTCGTGCTATGAGCAGGAGAGCATCTTCCAAATGGGCCTTGACACAGAGAAGATTCGACCCAAAGTCAGACAGTAAGTTAGAGTGACATCTGAACTTGTATGCTGAGTCATAAATACACAGAGGGGAAAAGCTTGACCACATACAAACAGTTGAGTCACAGATTTTAATTAAGAAAATACAAAAAATTGTTTTTCTTAACTTTAATTTTGTATGACCTAAAATTGACACTGACATTTCGACCAAAACATGATCATTTTGGTCTGTCTGTACAGCTAGTTTTGGTCCTCCACTGGTTTCTGTGGAAATAGAGAACAACAGTGCCATCATCACTCTGAAGGGACCAATGAGATATCAGCCTAACAACCACACCGCCGTCATTTCCATGGCAACCTTCTACCCCCACATGACCTACAACCTCTCTGTTCACAATGCCCGCCGCGGCAAGACAGTGAGTAGACGTATATGAACCGGGAGTCCTCATGTTCAGTTGAACCAGTTATAGATGAATCTGTGAATTGTGTGCATGTGTGTTTTGTAGCATCATTTCCTACTGGAGTCCAGTCTGTACAAATATCAGCTGATGGAGTACGACACAGAGTACTGCTTCTCTGCCAAGGCCAGATTCCTCTCCATGCCCATCCCATGCAGGTCGTCAGCATGGCATTGTTTAACCATGCCTCAAGGTATATTCACAGTGTGCGTGCATTAGGGAGAATATGTTGGTCCCTGTTAGACAGGTGGAAGGGAATGTGCCTCAACGTGATACAGAATCGAAAGAAGATTGAGTTACTCATAGGTTGCTTTTGTCTGAGCCATTTTGCATTGTTTGTGTATGAGTCTGGACATTTCCTCAATGTTTTTAGCTTCATAACAGTGCATTTTAGAGTTTATACATTGAGTTTTGATATGGCTTGGAGGGTGTTCATGTATATTTGTGTGATTTGCTCCTCATTTCCATTTCCCTCCAGACCCAGTGATTGGCCAGCTGCAGAAGATGGTTTGGGGTATAGCTGTTCCAGCTTTGTGCATGTGTGTACTTGTGGTGATTGGCTACTTTCTCCATAACTACCTGACAGGGAAAGACCAGAAAAAGCCATATATGCTGGTAATGCAAACACACACACTGGCAATTGAACTACATTTTCTATTAATGTAACAAAGAATAAAAACCACTTGTGGATGTTTTAGCCACATAGAGTCTTGCCATTTAATACAATTTCAGTTTAAGGCTAGTGTTACAAACTGGACAGTAACATTTTAAAGATGTGAACATTTACCATGCAGTCTAAAAGATACTATTAAGGTACATTATAAGAAATGAATGCAATGTTTCCCAAGCTTGACGCATGCCAGGGTTTAAAAGTCAGGAGATCTCGGTCTCTACTCATACAACTTTTACTTTTTTGCAATGCTAAATAATTGGAGTGAGGGATCCTTTATAAACACTGACTTTCATGACACCTCAGGCAAGTCATGTCAGTTTCTAATGTCTCAAAAGCTTATGGTCAATCTTTTAACGCCACACTCCTTTTCCTTTAACCTACAGAACCCACACCCTGTTCTCCCTCTCCCTACATCCACCATATGTCCTCCTGACAATCTAAATGTCATCGTCAACATTGTCATCAAAGATACACCATCACACACAGACAGCGCCATATCAGACTCTGCATCCCCCAAGCATCAGCAGCCCATCGCAGATCCCCCACCAAGATACTCCCCCCAGAGGTCTGAAACACCCCCAGAACCCCAGGGACCCTGGGAATATTTGCCCACTGACTATGGATTTGTTGGCGTTGCTCCTAAAATCTGTGTTGTCAGGGAAGAAGATACAAGAGAGGCAAGGCATGACAGAGGAGACAAAGGGGATCATCTGACAAGTAAATGCCAGAGATGCATAGCAAGTGACAGCTATGAGCAGAAAGAGTGGAGAGTTGAGGATTGTCAGGCCACTGAGGTTTACAGTCATCAGGTAAAGCCCGGCCTCTGGCAGAACCCGATCCACACATGCATGCAAACACACGCACAGACACGGTCACAGTTAAATTCACTTTTACTGACTCAGGAGTCATCACAGTCTTTTCAGCGAGCAACCGAGGATGACAGTGAGGAGGACAGAGATCCTCCAGGGTTATTTATAGACAAAAACCCACAAACTGGCCTCTTTCATATTCCTTTAAATCTACAAATTCAGAAGGAGGTAGGAAGTGTGGAAGACACAGAGGGAAAGATGAGAGAAAGAAGACATGGAAAGATGAATGAAGGTGTAGAGAAGGGAAGCAAGAGTGAGAATGTACCTTTTCTTTCTGCTTACCTCTCCAATAGCGTCAAATACATGCCTAACTCCCACACTGACCAATCAGATTCCTTACCAGATGACTATGGTGTTTTGAGAGTGGTACACAATATAACGGAAGATGAGGATGAGGAGGAGGAGGAGGGAGCTATTTGTATTAACTGGGATCCTGAATTAAGGAAACTGGTGCTGCCAGAGATGGCGCTAGACTTCAAGAAGGAGGGAGGCTTGGATGGGTTGATGGGGGAGAAAGAGAGTGAGGACTGGAGTGGTGGTGAGGATGAGGAGGTGAAGACCAGGGAAGATGAGCTGAGGCTGAAAAATGTGGTTGTCCGACAGCCGTCTGAGGAAGAGGCGGAGGCACAGAGAGAGAAGGAGAAAGGTGGGGAGATGGATGATATTTTGACTAAATGGGGGTTGGTATTCTCAGTGGACCAGTAAATGATACTCATTAACATATTTACCTCATTAGTACAATAACACTCTTCTCATGCACTTAAAAATTTGAAAATGATTAAAAGAACACACAAAATCAGTTTTATATAATATACATAATAAAATCAAAGGGTGATAGATAATGGATGGATGATAATATTGATTTCTTAAAAGCACTTAAATACTGTAGTAGTAACTTTTATATCTGTGAATGGTGTTGCTTTATTATCATCAAACTCTCAGTTTAGTAATCAACAGATCACACTAATCAATATTAAGTAATCAAACTAGGATCACAATGGAAGGAAATAATTTTTATATATTTACCTCAGTTTTGATCAAAATATTTGTATTTTTATTTTTAAGTAATCAAACTAGGATCACCATGGAAGGAAATAATTTTTATATATTTACCTCAGTTTTGATCAAAATATTTGTATTTTTATTTACATTAATATGAATGTATTATTATTTGTAGGCCTACTCTTCTTGTGTTTTTTTTTTTTAATTATTATTATATGTTTGTATAGTGTGTGTGGTTTAGTCAGCACGACACCACATCTCACTCCAACAACGCACTAATGGACTGTTCTGGCCTGGTTTCTGGAAACGTGTTTACCCAAAACCAGCATTCAAAAAATGAAGTTAAAAAGCTCCTGTGGTTTGAAGTAAAATCCTATAAAGAAATGTTTTACAGTGCAGTACGCCTATACAGTAGATGTTCCATGTGTATAAGTACATATGTGTTTTAGCTGATAACATTGTTTGGCAGTGGCCGCTGTGGGTGGATTTGGTTTAACCTCATTCCAGGTGAAGCTGTTACTCTAGACTGTTCTGGGGTGACAGTATTGAAGTGGGTAGAGCAGTCGTCTCCCAACCGGAAGGTTTATATCTGTCAGTATGTGTCAATGTTGACTGAGCTTTTGTACTGAAGAGAGGGACAATCAGTCAATATTATTCTGCGCCATCATATTTTATTTCTTTTTTGACCCCTGTGAACATTCACCTTTGAGCAAGCATCATTTTTCATCTTGTTTTTCTGCTTTTGTGTGCTTCATGCAGCAGTTTTATTTGTGTGTCTTGTCTGTCAGACATCACTATCCTGCCACTTCTGCATTCCATTGGTCTCTCCTGAAGCTTAAAGTCATTAAAAATGGGCAATGATTAATGCACTTTTCCAACTTTGTTATTCAGACAAATGCCACATCACTGTGATCGTTCCTCTTTCTCTTTGTTTGTTGTTCTGCCCTCATGAACTGGTTACTACTATAAACAATTCATATGTGAAAGATTAACCATCTCCACCTGTGATGGCTCACTGGCTCATATGGGGAATTTCTGGCAGTGAACTCCTGGAAAACCTCATCTGGTAACCTGCATAAATGAATCAAGTACTTCAGCAATCCCCTAAGGGAAATTCTATTTTTTCCATCTATTCAAAGAAGGGGGAAGTAGGAAACTCTACAGGTACATTTAGTTTCATATTCACTCACTGTATTTGCACAAGTCACTGCAGTGAAATTTAAAATGTGCATTAATCAATTTATTAAAATGGTTTTAATCTGTAAAATAAGTCGGTGATCGTTTTGTCAAACAATTGTATATTTAAAAAATAAATTATATTCATTCTTTTCTGCTATATTATTAAAGGTAAAGACAAGTAGTTTATTTTTTTTTATCAGTATTTCCTTTCTTCACTGTGTATTTTGTGCTTGTATCAGCTTTCACTTATTCTCAGAAAGGTTCTACAGCTTCTATTCAAGGAAACCTGAGCAGGCATGACAGACCTTTGTACTTTGCTCTTTCATGTCTCGTGCTTGTCTCCACAAAATGAAACAGAGCAAGCAGAGACACCTGCTGGTCAAATTGCAAACACTCGCCATGAAAATTACAGTAAAAGTAAGAGCATCAGTATTTCACTCTGTCCTTATACCTTACACATGATATTAACTGCTGACTAAACTTTCTCAGGCACTTGTTACATACTGTAACTGTCAGTGTAATGGTGTAGTCATTCCTGTGCTTGTTTGCTTTATTTCATATTGCTGCTACAAAGATAAACATCAAAACAAATACATTTGAGAGCATGTTTTAATTTATAAAGGTGATGTGTAGCTATATATAATGTATCTTCTCAAGGTGAGCACCACCAATTGTCCTTGCATGAGGTCTCCAGCAATATATGTAAAGGTTTGGCTTACATTTTTCACTCCTGTGGCACTATATCTGGTCCTCCTACAGTACAGACTGTTACGGTGGCTTCAGAAAGTATTCAGATATCAGCTTTGCACACTTTATGGTGCTGTAGATTTCATATTAATTGGGCAGTTTTTACCTGTGAGTTTACACTCAGTAGCCTGCAATGACAAAGTCAAAACAAGTTTTTGGAGTTTATTTCTAATTACGTTATTTATTTATCACAAATGCAGGCTATTAAAATTCCCAAACTGAAATTTCTCGTTTACAAAAGTATTCGGACCCTTAAGTCAAGCTTTGGGAGCAGTTACATTTAGATTGTTCCTGGGCAAGTCTCTGCACAGCTGTGCACACCTGGATTTGGGCAGTGTATCCTACCCCTCTTGGCAGATCCTCTCAGGCTCCATCACATTGAATGGGAACAGTCTGTTTAGAACCCAGACTCCAGAAGGGCCAGACTCATCGAATGTCGGTGCCTGCAGTCCACATGTCGACGTGTCCTTGGGTAAGACACCGAACCCCCCAAGTTGCCCGTGATGGCGGTGCGTAAACACGCAGCGGCCCGGGGCCCTCGGCTCCAAACAAAATGTGCATGTTACAATGACAATAAAATAAAGCTTCTTGTTCTTACTTCCTCACCTCTAGGTGGCGCGCTGTTGCACACCGGCCACTCCTCCAGCCCTCCTCACCCATCATGGCGTCCTCCGGGGCAACTTCGGCTCTCATCACCGGGGCGGGACCGCGGTGGGTCGGGCTGCCAGCCGTTGGACACTTCCGCCGGGATCGGGTTTCGTTCGACTCCGCATTTAAACGGGGCTGTGCTCAGCGCTGTGCTGTGAGCAGTAACAGACAATAACCAGTAGCTCTAGCGAAACAGGTTCTTATTTTTACCTGAAAAACGACAGAAAAAAAACAATTGCTCCAAATGAGATCTGGGTGGTTTTGCGGGTAGAATTGCGGGAGCAGCTGAACAATAACGGCGGTTGCGCTCTGACAGTAGCTCGGTTCATCATTTTGGGGATTTGTCTTCTAGCTCTTGAACGAATTGAATAGCGGTAACGTGATGTTGTGCATGAGTAGAACCATCTAGGCTTTTCTGGACAACGATTGTTTATTTAAACAGACTGATGAACAAAAACAGATTCGTTGAATGTTGTGTTTTTTCGGCCGAGGAACACAAAGTGGCCTGGACCGATGATGAGAGTGCATTTGAAGGGCAGGGTTTAAAATTCTGAAAAATATATAGAATACTTAGGATTTATTTTAGTTGATGCTATTTAGACAAAATAGCAAAAAATAATAGAACTGAATATAATGTCAGGCCAAAATCATTAAATACAACAAGTCACCACCCATTTAGAACAGCAGCATTGACCGACTTCATCTGTGTGCTTTCTGGGATATACCTGAAACTTTTGCAAACTTTCCACCAAAACAGACTTTTAAAAGATTTCATCTTTTAGGAAAATTGCAGTAAAATATAACCCGGAGAAACAACAATATAGATTTTGTCCTGAGTGTGATTTTTTTTTAATTTTTTTAATTGGGCTCAAACTTTCCTACTTTTATATTGGAGCTCATCCTGTCTTATGTGTGGAAAATCTCTTTTTAAGACTATTACCTCATCTCTGAGATATAACACATTTGTAGACCTATTAGGACAGACTAATAACCTGCAGAATAAGTTGACACAACTCTCCCACTGATCAACATCTTTGATTAGTTACGTCTTTTAGAGGTTTTACAGTCCAACAATAAACGACAAACAGCCATGTTCAGCTGGCTTGGAACCGATGACAGGAGAAAGAAGGAGCCAGAAGTCTTTCAGACTGTCAGTGAAGGATTGAAGAAGCTTTACAAAACCAAACTCCTGCCACTGGAAGAAAGTTACAAGTTTCACGAGTTCCACTCCCCGGCTCTGGAGGACGCCGACTTTGACAACAAGCCCATGGTCCTACTGGTTGGACAGTACTCCACTGGCAAGACGAGCTTCATACGGTGAGAACACAGCACACACATATGATAAGCTTCATATGGAAATCACAAACACACGAGGGGGAAGTCAACACAAACTGGGGTGCCAAATACATGACTAACTTTAAATAAATTCCAAATGGTTTTTGTCTCATCTGTATTACTGCCTCCATTAATTACGCACTTCTTAGAGCAACTTGGTAGTGTAGAAATAATGTATATTCAGAGTTCTGTCACAGTGTTTGACCTGGAGTATCTCTGGGATTGGTAAGTGTGTGTGTGTGTGAGAGAGAGATATTAGCAGCTGGGTGCTGGGCCTCTTTTGAGCTGCAGGACTGCTGCTAACATCTTGACCTTGTGGCACACACTCAGAAATACACACACACTGACACACACTTGAAGAGCACTGTAAGTAATTGGTGGGATAAGCCTTTGACAGCCAGAGAGAGGATGCTGTTAGTGACTTCCTGCTACAAGACAGGATAGTGCAGACATCCCTTCTCTCCCTGTTCTTCCTCTCCTGCCTTTAATTCACTCTCTCTCTTTCTCGTATACACTTTCAACAGTCAGTAGCCTGACCCTGCACCACTATACCAATTCTTCTCATCTGCTTGTGCAGTAATAACACAGATTAAAAACATCTTGTGGTGACCATGTTTGTCACGCCTTCCGCCTGTGCCCGTTTTCAGCTTTATCTCACTGGCTGCATGTGAACAAAATGTGCAGAATGTGATAAACATATGCATGTGAGCTGATATGTGTAGGAATTCCACACATACAGTATGTCTGTGCTGTCAAGCACACAGTCTGGTGGAGGCACAGATGCAGAACCTCCCCAGAGACAGGAGGCCTCACTCAGACACACAGGCAGAGAGATGGCTCTGCCAGGCACCGCTGGTTCCTTGGACAAGGTGTGTGTCTGTGTGTGTGCATGGAGAGGATGTTTAATTAAAGCAGTCATCCTTACATCTGGTGGAAGTTAAAATGCATACACAGCCCATACCCATCCTGGACATTTATGGGCCTTTTTAGCTGTAAATCTCTTTTTTATGGTATGTCACTAATATTAAGGAGCAGATGCAGAAAAAAATCCATTTCAGTGCCTTTGTTTTTGCCTTAGGTGATCACAAATCACAGATTTACCCACTGAGAGGGCCTCTTCTTAGTCCATGTGGTTAGCAACAGGTTCTGCTTGTTTTGGAGCCAGTGTATGGCAGCGATTCAGCCTCTGATGGTTTAAAACTCCCTTTATCGTTGTTCCAGTAACTTCTAATTTAGGACAGACCTGTTTTCTTGTGATTTTTGACTTGCATCTTACCATCAAGCCCAATTTCCTTTCAGCAGAATCTCTGTGAAAAGGCTTCAGAACTTCTTTCAAATTAGAGGCTGCAGATGTCGCACACAGCTGTCCTATTGCCTATGGATGAATGCAGGGTTTAAATGTACCAACAGGAATAATAACAGTTAAATGGGACGTAAACAACCTCCAGCTGGAGAATTATCTTTTGTTAACTTAGTTAACCATGGTTGCAGAACATAAATTCCCTGTCCTACACATACAAATCCATAAAAGTGAAGCATCATTTCATTTTAATTTCCAGTAATGTCTCCTGATGCTACACAATGCTCTGTAACACTATTCATTGTTCTTGAAGGATACCAAAAAAAAAAGCCTTTATGTGTGGTTGACTTATTCCTACACGCACTGAATAGATTATCAGAAACACATCGCCTCCTGTTTACTTTAATGCTAAATCTTTAATGCTTGTTTATGTTAATGCTATCTCACCTCCAGCTACCTGTTGGAGCAGGACTTCCCTGGAATGCGGATCGGCCCTGAACCCACCACAGATTCCTTCATCGCGGTGATGCACGGCGACACAGAAGGTGTCATCCCCGGCAACGCTTTGGTGGTTGACCCCAAGAAGCCCTTCAGAAAGCTGAATGCATTTGGAAATGCATTCCTCAACAGGTAGACCCTCACACACACACACACACACACACACACACACTCTCTGAAAGTGCTAGTGGGGTTGTACCAATGGCAGAAGCTTGCCAATAACTTTGCAGGTGTGTGTGTGCTGGAAAATGTTATATAAAGGTGAAGTATGTAAATGAAGTAGGAAAGACTGAGGATGAGAGTTCACATCACAGCTCTACATTCCTGTAAGATTGAATTTCTGTCTGCTCACTGGTCAGGTTTCTCTGTTTGTGTGTGTGTGAGGGAGAGAGATAGAGAAACAGGAGGCCATCTTGGCAGAGGCATGCTTCTGGAAAAGGGAAACTGCCAAAAACTCTCTACCCTTGCTCTTGCAGTAATGTCCGCAGTATGAGGGCCCACTACTGCTGAAAGGGGACAGAGGAAATGCTGACTGTCACTGGGGATTTGGGAGCTTCACATTGAGGACGGCCTCTAATCTGTTCATAATTGGTCAGCAGCAGAAAGACGAGGAGAGCAGCAGAGATAGTGAATGGAGGAAGAGGCCTGGTGTAGTGATGTTTGTGAAGCTTTACACTTCTATCCTGATATTTTTAGATCTTCTCTCCACTCTGTGTGTGTAGGTTTGTGTGTGCCCAGCTACCTAATCCAGTGCTAGAGAGCATTAGTGTGATTGACACACCAGGGATTCTGTCTGGCGAGAAACAGAGAATCAGTCGAGGTAAGAAATCAAATTCAAGACCCTCACACTCTTATCTTCCACAGTTTATGTGTGTGTCAGTGTTCGTTCACTGGACTCATTCAGCTGCAGCCTGCTAGTCCCACTCAACTCTGAACTACAATGTCAGTACTTCCTTTGGGCATGCATTGGTTTATTTTAACTATCCAGTGACCTCACTTCTGTCCCATACCTGTGAATTTGACTGGTTGGGGGAGCCATACAACTGTGAAGCGGTGATTCTAGTTATAACTTGTAATTTGTTAACTCTGCTATGAAGACAGCAAAATGTAAGGAACTGAATGAAAATAAGCATGTGATCACAGGGTGATTTTATTTGAACATGACCTTTTTACTTGATCTCATCAGAATTTGCATGTTGCTCTTTGCTTATCCATTGGTGCTTAACACAGGTCAGCTCAAAGGAATTCTGCAAAGCTGATATATATACTCAGACTAAAGTTGAAATGCAAAATAATCAAATACTGCCTGTATGAATCTCAATTATACTTCTCTACTTCTGAGCAGATCCCAGCTGTAGTTTTAAACTGAGTGCAGAGACTACAGTATGAGGAGACATTTACTGTCAGTGTGAAAGGCTTACAGGAATTCTCTCCAGCTTGTTTTCAGGTTGATATGTGTAGCACATTCCCAAAGCTAAAAGCTGGCATTGCCATACCAACCGCTAAAATTAACAAAAGAGCTCAGATAATTAAAGATGGTCATAATTTACTCTCCCTCCTACTGCCCTCTCTGTTCAGTCTCTGCCTTTGTCGTGCCTGTATCTAATGCTGAGTAAGTCCCAAAGATGTGTTCACAACTGTCATCATATGTAGGTGTTAGCAGTCATACTTGCTAACTACCACTTTTATCTAAGTTGTACATGGGTAATATTATGAAGTGTTGACATAATAAAATATGTAAGCATACTTCTCACAGGCTTAAAAAGAACAAGTCCTGGCCATTGGGTCCAGCACATTACATCATAGTAGGGGTGGGTCTGCTGGGATCTGGATTTTCTTCAAAGCTAGAATATGGAAACATTTTTGCCATGGCAGTGTTTTCTGTCAAGAAACAAGAGAACAAATGCTTTGTCAGCGCTAATCAAATTTCAGACTGTGTTTATATTTGGCAGTACTGTAACTGACCCACATCAACTCTAGTACTAATAACTTGTTTGGTCCCAAAGTGTCCCTTCGGCCTGTTATCAAATCAAACAAACAGCACAGTGAGGTGTGACCCTGTTAGATATTTTTAAAAACACATGTCAGTTTTAATCTCTTCTGAGTCAGCACAGCTGTGTGTTCTCTGGGTAAAGTGTGAGAGGTGATGATTTTGTTTGTGTGTGGTCATTTGCATTTTCATTTTTATCCATTTACATCTGTTTACTGTATGTCATGTACAGGTGGGTACAGGAGGAGTCACTGAATGGTTTATGTTGGTGTTTTTTAGTCATCCGACTGCATGTTTTCACGTTTCAGTTGGGTCTCTCATTCACTTTGTTGCATAACTTTATCAGTGTTTGTTTTGTGTGTGTGTGTGTGTGTGTGTGTGTGTGCGTCCAGATGAGGACTTGTCAGGCTATAGCTGTCTACATAGATGTCCTTATGGAGGTGATATCTTGGCTTGAAGAATTTAAGGGTTGTTATATGTTCTTCACCAGAGTCTTGTCACATGGTTTTGAAAAAACATTTGTCTTTACTTTAGTAGGGAGCAAGTGGGTAATTTATGTCAGATTTATTGCTAGTGACTGCTAGTGATTTTGATGATCCTCAGACTTTCACCATTGTCACATGAATTTTTCCCATGCACGACAGTTTGGTCCACAATGTGTTTAAACAGCTGATGGAGGGACCTCAGTGATACAGTGCCTTGCGAAAGTATTCGGCCCCCGTGAACTTTGCGACCTTTTGCCACATTTCAGGCTTCAAACATAAAGATATAAAACTGTAATTTGTTGTGAAGAATCAACAACAAGTGGGACACAATCATGAAGTGGAACGAAATTTATTGGATATTTCAAACGTTTTTAACAAATAAAAAACTGAAAAATTGGGCGTGCAAAATTATTCAACCCCCTTAAGTTAATACGTTGTAGCGCCACCTTTTGCTGCGATTACAGCTGTAAGTCACTTGGGGTATGTCTCTATCAGTTTTGCACATCGAGAGACTGAAATTTTTGCCCATGCCTCCTTGCAAAACAGCTCGAGCTCAGTGAGGTTGGATGGAGAGCGTTTGTGAACAGCAGTTGTCAGTTCTTTCCACAGATTCTCGATTGGATTCAGGTCTGGACTTTGACTTGGCCATTCTAACACCTGGATATGTTTATTTGTGAACCATTCCATTGTAGATTTGGCTTTATGTTTTGGATCATTGTCTTGTTGGAAGACAAATCTCCGTCCCAGTCTCAGGTCTTTTGCAGACTCCATCAAGTTTCCTTCCAGAATGGTCCTGTATTTGGCTCCATCCATCTTCCCATCAATTTTAACCATCTTCCCTGTCCCTGCTGAAGAAAAGCAGGCCCAAAACATGATGCTGCCACCACCATGTTTGACAATGGGGATGGTGTGTTCAGGGTGATGAGCTGTGTTGCTTTTACGCCAAACATAACGTTTTGCATTGTTGCCAAAAAGTTCGATTTTGGTTTCATCTGACCAGAGCACCTTCTTCCACATGTTTGGTGTGTCTCCCAGGTGGCTTGTGGCAAACTTTAAACGACACTTTTTATGGATATCTTTAAGAAATGGCTTTCTTCTTGCCACTCTTCCATAAAGGCCAGATTTGTGCAGTATACGACTGATTGTTGTCCTATGGACAGAGTCTCCCACCTCAGCTGTAGATCTCTGCAGTTCATCCAGAGTGATCATGGGCCTCTTGGCTGCATCTCTGATCAGTCTTCTCCTTGTATGAGCTGAAAGTTTAGAGGGACGGCCAGGTCTTGGTAGATTTGCAGTGGTCTGATACTCCTTCCATTTCAATATTATCGCTTGCACCTCTGAGACTATCACAGTGCAGGTGCATTTATATGGAGACTTGATTACACACAGGTGGATTCTATTTATCATCCTTTGTCATTTAGGTCAACATTGGATCATTCAGAGATCCTCACTGAACTTCTTTAGAGAGTTTGCTGCACTGAAAGTAAAGGGGCTGAATAATTTTGCACGCCCAATTTTTCAGTTTTTTATTTGTTAAAAAAGTTTGAAATATCCAATAAATTTCGTTCCACTTCATGATTGTGTCCCACTTGTTGTTGATTCTTCACAACAAATTACAGTTTTATATCTTTATGTTTGAAACCTGAAATGTGGCAAAAGGTCGCAAAGTTCAAGGGGGCCGAATACTTTCGCAAGGCACTGTATGTCTGTGTATACTTGTTATCCCCAGAGGTGGAGGAGATCACCTAACAAGCTAATTTGAAAATTTCTATGTAAAATGTTGTTTCAAATACAATGAAAGCTTTTTATTTGGCAACGTCTTGCTTTATCCCAGTGCCACCCTCAGCCTAAAATAATCAGCTTTGATAGCAGATTTCTGTCAAGATTCACTGTGTATTTATGACAGATCATAAAGCCTACTGCTGTTCCCTGTCCCTGAAAATATACATTGCACTCACCATAGTTAATAAAATTCCATAGATTGTAATGAGCCCATGCCCTTTACTGTAGGGCCACCGTCGAGACAAACTTTGTAGTTCCTGTACTGTGCAGTGTAATGAACTATGAGGGGCACATGTAGAACTTTACAACTGTATAGTATTATTTGCCACACCATGTGAAAAGTGCTCTGTGTGAAGAATATGTCAGTAAAATTCAAAACATCAAGGTGTCTCTCTCTCTCTCTCTCTCTTAACCCTTGATAGCTTTGCTCAAGCGGCAAAGTGCCCTCCTTATCCTCTAAGCTGTGCTTACACAGAACTGAAAGACGCAGCCAAAACCAATTTCCATTTTTTACATACCTATTGCTGCGACTGTTGAACTTTTGGTTGCATTCCAATGAAGGATTACTGAATACTCAACATTAATGTATTAAAATCATTTGTAAGAGAGCCTTTGCAGCAGTATGTCAGCATTACTGTTAGAATCTCAGTTTTAATACCTGTGTACATGGCCACTCCTGAAATCATTTACCTTTAGTGTCAACTATTCCTCTACTTGGAGAAGCAGCGGTGCAACCACAGTAGCAACAGCAGCAGTTCAGTATGTAAAAAGGGGGATTTTTAATCACAGCTATGTCTGTGTAGTGAGACTCTCTGTGTAAAGAGGAAAGGTGGATTGGTTCAGGTCAGAGTCAGATGGATTCAAAGCAATAACAAGTGCAAAGGCTGTAGATTGTGAAAAATTCTCCTGTCAAATTACAAACAAAACTCTTCAGAAAATCCATGTGACACTGTATTAACATAAAGCTACTGCTCACCACCATCTGACAGCAAATGCCTCCTAGTTGCTTTCCCATAATCTCAGCTGTAGCAGTGTTACCATTGACTCTGCATGTCTTGTGTTGGTTGGAAATTTCAGCTGACTAATCCTTCATTCTATCCTTTGTTCTTTGTTCTCCTCTCATGTCTGTTGGAATTTCTCCAGATAAGAGTCAGTCTTGTCCTTGACTGTGATTGAAACTCAGTGGACTTTTGCTGACAGACTCAGTCATTGATTCATTTATTTAAGCATTAATTTATGGAGGCATTAACTCATTCATGCATTTATTCGTTCTAAAGGTCATGATTGCATTACCCTTGTATTGCTCGAAGGGCTCTAATAGTCAAAACTGTCCATTATACTACCGGTAAACAGTTTAAAGACAACATTATGAACTTTGTGGTTTTCTCCATCATTATTTAGTTTTAAAAAGCCACTTTTCAGCCACTTAGCATGAACCTTGGCAGCACTGTCTCCATCTGTAAACACATTCTTTTCTTTCAACATGTTGTTGCAATGTGAATATCCTTACTGGGCCCCTCTATGACCTGAAGGCATTGTAATGATTGTCTCTTGGGAGTATTACAACATCTCAGTCAAGGTTTAAGGTTCAGTTGTTGGATTATAGATGTTGAGTATCAGCATAAAACTTATGCTGACCTGAACTTCAAAAGTAGCACAAACTGCTTAAATTATGTTCACCACTGATTTAATTGCCTTTCTTTCATGCTCTATTGATATTGGTATGAGATGGCGAGCAAAGAAATGGGAAATAAAGGGAAGAACAAATTAATTATAGCTTATTCTTACAAACTTTTTCTTTTGATCTAATTTAACCTTTCATTTCATACCCAACCACTTTTTTGATCCTCCTCTTCTTCTTCTTCCTCCTCCTCTTCCTCTCAGGCTATGACTTTGCAGCTGTCTTGGAGTGGTTTGCAGAGCGAGTGGACAGGATCATATTATTGTTTGATGCCCACAAACTGGACATCTCTGATGAGTTCTCAGAGGTGATAAAGGCCCTGAAGAACCATGAAGACAAGATCAGGTAATTTAGGATCATCTGATTTAAAGACATCTTTATAACTAAAGCCGCACAAAGTGGACACAAATAGCTGCTCACTCTGCACATGTACATCAACTTTAAGTGAAGGTACTCTTGTATATTATGTATGTGAGGAGCTGAATTGTCACTACTGTTCTGCCATGTTTTGTTCAGGGTTGTGCTGAACAAGGCTGACCAGATAGAGACCCAGCAGCTGATGAGAGTTTACGGTGCCCTGATGTGGTCATTAGGAAAAATAGTCAACACCCCTGAGGTATAGTAACCAAGAACTGTGAAACAGGGAACATCAAAGGCTCGCTTTCACTCTTGACAGTGCCCAAATGAGACTAACAAAGCTTCTGCCAAATTAAAATCATATTAATTCAACTCAGAGGTAAAATGACAACCATGCGGGATCTCTGATGTTACCAAAACAAACACATTAGCTTTAGATACTAATACATACAGAAGGAAGAAGGTAACATCTGAATCAAATTTGAGCCATTTGGCAGCTTTTAACCCTTATCATCCCAAAAACCGATGAACAAATGTTAACACTGGTCTTTCTCTATTTGTCCCACTCTCTCCGTGCAAAAGAATGTGCCCCCCCTTGGTCTGGCAGCCAGTGTTTTGGACTTGTAGCTCCTTTGTGGCTGACTGTTTGAGATGACTACTCACAGTTTGAAAAACACTTCTTATAACCTTCACTAGGTGGCAGGAACTAATGTCCAGACCAACTATCAAAACAGAGGGTAGAGAAGCAGGAATAACAACAAAAGGGGTAGTATAGCTGAGAGACACCACATCTTGTCCCATTTTCACCTTGTTTATTAGATAATATGTAAAATCTTAGTTAATGCACCTTTTTGGGTTTTCCCCTATTCCCTCATACAAGTGGAGCCAGTGTGCTATTGTTCTTTTTATGTCTTAATTTATCATGTTTTGGTTCCATCAACCGCCATCTTCATCCGTCTTTCTCACTGACAGGTGATCCGTGTGTACATCGGTTCATTTTGGTCCCATCCTCTGCTGATTCCTGACAACAGGAAACTGTTTGAGGCAGAGGAGCAGGATTTATTCAAGGACATTCAGTCTTTACCAAGGAATGCAGCGCTTAGAAAACTCAACGATCTGATCAAGAGGGCAAGATTAGCCAAGGTATGTGGTTGTATAAATTTGGCAGTGGTACAGCTGTAGTATTACATTAATAATTAACAATGAGTCTGTGTGTTATATTACAAGCACTGGTACATGTCTGTTAGCAACATTTTTCTACTTCTGCAGAAGGATAAGCACCTATTCCATATTAAATCCTTTCTTGCCTGTGCATCCACAGAGTTACAATATCATTGTTACTGTAGTACACCTAATACTGACACGTTTCCAATAATTTTCTGATGGAACTCTACCAAGACTAGTGATTTTTTTAGGGATGGCAATTCTTTTTTGTAATAAACTAAAACTCCTGCTGTTACTTGACAGTGTTGATTTTTAGCACAGCTGTGTGCGCCTCCTATTTCTTCTTAACTATCAGTTACTCGTTCTCTCCACCCTGTCCAGCTGTTAACCTTGGCAGAAAAGGTTTATCTGTCACAGGTCCAACAGAACCAGACAAATGTGGCTATCCTCCTCTAAGTGAATTATTTCCTGTTTCCACACCCGACAGGACGTCAGGTATGAGAGGTGATAGCCCACTGCCTGTTGTGTTCGAGGAAACACAGAGGATGTACACATGCACACGCTCACTCACACACACACACAGATTTATCAAGCTGAGAGTTGATCTCAGTTTTCCTGTTTGACAGCTGATAGTGGGTGTGTGCACGCACGTGTTTAGTGATGAGCTTCAAGGACATGAGGTGGAGTCTTGCCATTGCACTGCTGGATTCAAATGACATTCAAGAAATATCCAGGAAATGAAGGCTGCCTGTACTCACTGAAATTTGGAAAACAAGCATATGTTATGTTAAGAATGTAATCGAGATCAGTGGTACAGCTGGACCCCAGCATTTTGAAGAGGAAACAAATTTGCCTGTGTAGTAGTTATAGTGATTTATAAAGACAGAAAATTACCCATGTAAACAGGTTAGCCTGTTACTTGTCTTCATCTGTTGTACAGTATTTCTGGCAATATAACTGCTTAAAGAGCTTTTCTGGCTCCCACTGGTGAATAAACAAATCTAACTGTGTGTTATTAAGACTTATTAGTGTTACCAATAGTAACTACAGATGTTTCCAAATGAACCCAAAGCGAAACCTTAAGGATTAAAAATTTAAATACCAGAACTTTAAAGAGACTGACTTAAACTTGATGCACAAGTAATTTTGCTGTTGACTGAGTGGCCTTTGTGGCCTTTGTTCACTCTCCATATGCAGGTCCATGCTTACATCATCAGCTCACTGAAGAAAGAGATGCCCTCTGTGTTCGGGAAGGAGAACAAAAAGAAAGAACTCATTGGTAGTCTGGGAGATATCTACAAACACATTGAAAGAGAACATCAGATATCACCTGGAGACTTTCCTAATCTGAAGAAGATGCAGGTAAATAGGAAAGAGCGACGGAATGCAGGGTTACAGACAGACATTTAGATATATGTTTTGTTTTCTGTATTATTTCTTTCAGGATCAACTCCAAGCTCAGGATCTGACCAAATTCCAGCCTCTGAAATCCAAACTGCTGGAGGCAGTCGATGACATGCTAGCCAATGACATTGCTAGCTTAATGGTCCTGGTCCGCCAAGAAGAAACACAATTCCCCAACCCGGTTGTGAGGGGTGGTGCATTTGATGGCACTGATGGCCCATTCGGCCATGGATACGGCGAAGGAGCAGGCGAAGGCATTGACGAAGCTGAGTGGGTTGTTGCACGTGACAAACCAGCTTACGATGAAATTTTCTACACATTATCTCCTGTCAATGGGAAGGTAACGGGAGCCAACGCCAAGAAAGAAATGGTGAAGTCAAAACTGCCCAATACAGTGCTGGGAAAGATCTGGAAGCTGGCAGATATCGATAAGGATGGCATGCTAGATGACGAGGAGTTCGCATTGGCTAATCACCTGATAAAGGTGAAACTAGAAGGACATGAACTACCCTCAGAGCTGCCTGCGCACCTGGTGCCTCCATCTAAGAGGAAAATACCAGAGTAAATGTAAGATGATCCTAAAACAAATAAACAAAAAACTATAGTTAGACCCCTCTCCTATGAGAAACAAAAAATATTGGCAATTAAAATACAAATATTTCTGTAGCAAATAATTACAAATGAAAAATACTTGAATAAACTTCAACTCAATTTCTACAACCCCAAATGAGAAAAAGTTGGGATGGCAGGTAAAATCAGAATTAAAACTGAAAATAGTGATGTGTAAATCATCTGTGCCCTGTATTAAATCAAATCACAGATGATTTACACATCACTATTTTCATTTTTAATTCTGATTTTACATGCTGTACTTTTTCTGATTTGGGGTTGCGAATCTTTCTTTCATCCGCACATAGGCAGTCTTTTGTTCTCTTCAAATATTAGAACAAAATGCTCATATACATCTGTTAATTATTTTCACACTGCTAACATTTGTGTGATAGAGAGAATAAATATAGAATTCTGTGGAATTTTACTTCTCAACAGGATGCTGAAATTTTACCAGGGTCGAAAAACTGGACCTGGATGAGTCCTCTGATTAAAGCTAAGTCTTTAGTCCAGTGTCCTGTTTTGTTGTGAGAAGGTCCTAAAAAGGTATTGGAGATGTTGGGACATCTGATATGGTAGCTAGTAATGTAAAACAGATTTAAAGTCTAAAACTAGAAACACTGGAACTTGTAGGTTGATTTAAAGTACTGGATGAAAATGATGTGTAAGTGTAAAGACAAAAAGAGAGAGAACTTCAAAATAAACATCATATTAAAACTTATCTATTATCGATACTAAAAACAGTAAAGTCACTGTATTCCACACAGCCACCAAAACATTTTACAGCCCTTCTATCTTGAGATGTGGTTTCCTGCAACATTGAGTATTCTGGCTTTTGTTTCATGGCAGCATGATAAACAACTGCACGAGGCTTGTGAATACAAACATTAACACTCAAGAGCACACACAAATAATATGAAGACCATTTTGGGTTTGGGTTTTGTAAACAGACAATGACCGTGATTGCTGATGTTAGTATTTGCGTTTGATGGAGTTTATGACGTGAACCCATGAATGGACGCTGAAAGGACCTTTTGCAATGAAGGAGGAAAATGTTTCTCTAATGGAAATCGAGCAGGAACAAATGAAGAGTCTCAAGTGCTTTGTCTCTTATTATCATTATACACAGTTCTGAATCTCACCAACTTGTTTTAAAATACCGTGACTACATTAAAAAAAAACTTGTTCGGCCATGTGAGTGTGCTGACATTCTCATTATAAATGCATTGTATAGAACTGAATGTTTCATGGTTCTGCATGGGCACATACATATTGTAAGTATGCATATGACCATATGTATTAGTGATATTATATGTAATGTACTGTATATGTACAGTATGTGTATGTTAATAAGTCAGTAAGGGGCAGTATAGGGGCTTGAAATAATCCATTCTAAGATAACGGAGCAGTCCAGAGAGTGAACACAACTGTTTGCTCATTTTGTTATAACAAAACACTAATCCACACATTTTTCTAATGTTTTTGTGTTTCCGGAGTAAAATTCAGCTCATTTTAAATTGAACTCAAATGTAATTCCGCCTTTACAATGTTTCTAATATATTTTGTAGCACTATGTCAGTATATGTGTGTATAGTTAGGTTTTGAGACTCTGTCATGAGATGAAACATTAAACTAACAAAAACTGGATCTGAGTAGAAATGTTCACTAATGAGTTTGAGTGAGGCTATAGAACCGACTCTAGTTTATGGCCATCTATTACCGCTCCCTGTGTATCTCTGTGCTGTTAGTGTGAATATAATTTACTGTGCATTCCATGAACTCAGATTAAAAAAATAATTCACGTGATCTTGGGTGCTTTGCTTAGTACCATCACATACTAAACAAGATATAGCAGGCATTAAAATGCAGATTCTCTGCAAAGCCCTCCAGACTGACAAGTTGTATTTATACCCTGGTGGAGTGCAACAATGAAATCCTGTCTACTGGTAAATTCACTAGTGTCATGCCATTTTTGTCTGTTTTACAATGGCGATGCAAAGCTTGATCTGTTCTTCACAGATTTTTGTCATGCAAGTGAAATAAAAACTCATTTACTAAATTTAATACCCTCTTTTGTTTGTGTTAGGAGCAATCTGACTACTTTTTTTAGAGGAAAAGAAACAAATTTATATTTAGAGCCCAGATTTGACTTCCTTTAACCTACCTAGACTGAGTAAAACATGTTAGCCGACACAGTATATTATCTTTGGTTAAGCTTTTGGTTTAGTGTGCATCACTGAAAACAGTATACTTCCTACACTATAATTCATCTGGGTTCTTTCTCTTAAGTGGCCTTTTAAACAAATAAAACTAATACAAATTTAAAGTGCACTCTTGCAGGACTAATCCACATACTTCAGAACCGCAGCTGGAGTGTGATGTGTGTATATGTCTTTCTATGGTTGCGTGCCACATGTGAGGGCAGTTGTGAGGATGTGTGAACACTGCAGTGGTCATAGTTCAAAAACCGTCCCCTACATTATAAAAAGAACAAAATCAAGAAAATAATGGGAAAAAAAACAGGACACCTATTTTAAGGATAGTATTGTAGTCTTTCCTGTGGTGACATGAGAGAGAATGGTGGACACCAGAGAGACAGACAGACTGACAGCGGGAGGAAAAAGAGTTCAGAGCCAGAGCTGGCTGAAACATGTTTGTGTCTAGTTTAGATTTGGTATCTTATCTCCTCTGGGGTGACCACAGTAAAGCTTAAACTGTTTTTTCAGTGGTGAGTCTATCAACAGTGATGAATATGCATGTGATGGATGTGTGTGTTTACACATGGAATCTATATGTACATCAGGGTAAAATGTATACAACCTGGGGGCACAAGCAAACTGGTATATCACAACACTGATGCTCTTTCACACACACACACACACACACACACATCGCTGTCATTACTATTGTGAACAGCTGCTCCTCTGGACTCAAGTTAAAAACAGATGATTACAAAAATAAAACTTTTTTGGTGCTTCCAGTAGAGTCTAACTGGAGTTGGCTCAGTTGTCATGGACTCATTAATGAACAGTCTATACACATTAACAGGGCTTGAATATAGCATTGTTTCAGTCAGTTACCATCATAAAAGGAGCATCTATAATATACTGTATTGTTATATCAGAAGGCTTTAGATTATATAAATTGATAAAATCAAATTTAGTACTAATTCAAGTTACATGGTTCTGTTTATTTCTTTTTTAAATTGATTTTTTTTATGTGAACTCTGGTACATACAGCTATGGCCTCTTGATCCTATGACATTAAAAAGCTGTATATATGTTACAGTTAGTTATCCCCTGTTCTGTTCATTTCTATAAGGCACTGGCGTCTGACCTGAAAAGGCCTGCAGACAATAGCTTCAACTGTTGTTCACCTGCCAGCAATAAGCTTCACCAGGAGGACATTATTCATGGGTTCACACTACCCCTCCAGATCCATCCCTTACGTGCTGTCAGCTCCACAAAACAACGTGGCGACAGGGGCGTGATCCCTCACCAAGCACTATCAAACCCAGCAGGTCCCTCTGATTAAACCGAGCTCAGACCACAGCAGCTGACACACCCATTTGTGACTCTCACCGAGTCACAACTCATCACCGTTTCAACAAGTGCATGCTTCAGGGTGGAGTGGTCACACAGTCAGCCGAGCGGTGACATGCTACTGTTAATTGTCCTCTGTCTTCATGGTAGTGCAAAGTGTAAAAGAAGGTTCATAATAACAAAAGAAATCAGGAGGTAGGGCATTGTTGGAGTTGCAAACTGTTATTACTGTTTTATTTTATCCAACATAAAAACACAAGTCACTTCAGTTAATTCTGAATTTTCAATGCTGAAAATGCTGTTCCACCTAAGTGTCCACCAGGGTTCAATCAAATCATCTTAGAAACTGAAACAACAAGCCTGATAATCATTCATCAATGAAAAACACATTCTGCAATTATAACATTTATGTAAAAGCTGAGTGTAGGTGACTGAAATCCCACTGAAAACTATCAAAAATAAAGACTGACTGACATTTCACATACTATTTGAACTGGTGTCAGATCATCTGTCTCTGCTATGTTTGTATCCTGTGGCTGAAGGAAACCGTGTGTGTGTGTGTGTGTGTGTGTGTGTGTGTGTGTTAAAAGTAACCACAAGTCCTGATGGTCATTCCTTGTACCACTTCCTGGCTAGGCCATGGATGAGGTCAACATCCTGTGCCAACGCACGCACACACACAAACACAGGCATGCATGCGTGCAATTATGAAGAGACCCTGCCTGACCTCTGATCCTGAGAATAACAAGCATAGGTGTTCACACTGTTACACTATGTCAGACTTGTCCTGTGGACAGATTTATTTTCTTTTTAATTTTTATATTAAAATTAAGAAAATATTTCATAAAGTAATGCTCAACAGTTCAGCGTGACACATATTTTAAAATCTCATCGGCTTCATTCAGAACAATCAGTTACGTAGCAGCCTGTGTACAGATACATTATCTTTGGGAAAGAAAACAACACAATACCTCAGATTCTTGCTACACAATACAATAAGAACATATCACATTACTGTGATCGGAAATTTCTAAAGATCTGACAAATAACTACCAGGATGTTGCTCTATGAGAATTTACGTTCTTATAAAGCATTTTTTCTTCTTATAATTGAATGTCTTTGCACAGCTGGATTTTAAACAGATGCAGAGCAGGAATAACTCATCAGAAAATAAACTATTGTACGTTGTCTCACTTTATTTGGCTAATAAATAACATTTGTCTATGTATTCATGAATATTACAGGTTAAGTGAGACTGTGAGCTTTTTAAAATTCTTCTTAGAGTCCATAAGTCCACTGTCATTCTTTATGTCATGGGCTAAATGCTAATGTTAATGTCCATCCCTGTCTTTTTGGCCAGTCAATTAACAAAAAAAAACCTCACAACTCCTTTCTGTTCAGTTCATTCTATATTTGGTGATTTTCCAGTATATTTTACATGTGTGCGTGCACAGACGGGACCATCGAATTCATCATTATGTAACACTTGTCCAGATGATGAATTTTCTGATACACTATCACAGTACATAATGTTTTTTAAGGGAGAGCAGGCACCGGGCTGGCTCAGCCGACGACAACAAATAGTCATTATTCAACTATTTCCTCAAGATGAT